CGTGGCCTGGAGATAAGGGCAGTGTGAGGCAAAGGCTGCACTTGTCCTATAGCCAGTGATATTACGTGATATTACATGAGCGCACAGCAATAAGAGGAGACTTCTTTCCTGCTGTGCCCCCACTTGGCACCTTCTCCACCCACCACTGCCTGAGGGCCCCACTGGGGAACCTGCTTCCCCCTTGCTACCACTGGGCTGGAGCAAGAGGGCAGTGTGCGCTGCTGGTTTGGGAGAGGCTGACATCTCTGCTGCTCACCTATAACCGTGCACCTACCCTGTTCAGCTCTGCTCCAGCCCCAACAATGCAGAGACTAATCACATAGTTACAATGAGGAAGCTGGGTCTTTCTTGCAGCTTGCACCCCATCCTCCAATACATTTCATCATGAGTTTGTTACCAGAATGGCCAGAGATCTCTGCTAGACATCCGTTTTGATGGATAGCAGGGCAGGTGATGTTGTGTAAACACTTCCAGTATTTTTCTTACATTGATTCAGCAGTTCTATGTTCTTCCTTCTCATCAGGATGTGATTTAATCATCTCCAAGTCAGACATGCACTACTGGATACTGAGGATACATGTACCTCACTGCCCATAAATGCATCCCGCTGCCATTGGGTTCTGTCCCAAACACCAGGCCTTTGTTTTAAATGAAGCACATCCCCATGCAATCTTGTTTTGTTCCAAGCATAAAGTGGCTTGTTCTACTCACCCTGTTCTGTTTGTCCTGGTCTCCAAAGTTACTGGGGTGCTACAGCAATTAACCCCTTCCCAGTCATGCAAACAAGGCCTGAGCCCCTGGTGAAGCCAACAGTTTTCCCCTGATGGGGCTGAAAGCAATTCTTATTCGATGTGTCCACGTCCACATTGTCTCAGAGATCAATGAGACAAGAGCAGGTCACCCTGAAGGCAGAGATTAGCTGTTCCTCACCCACAAGGATCTTTATAAAGAGCAGATACCGAAGAGGATCCTCCATGGAGCTGGTTATTTTCCTCCCAGGGGCCTGAAATCTCCTCACCATGCTCTGGGCTCCCTTTGTGGTGCTGCTGGGCACCTGGTGCACAGGTGAATGAGGGAGACCTTTATAAATATGCATTGAAGTGGCAGATAAAGCCAATGCTCACTGAAATGATACAGTAAAGTTTGTGTATTTTGCAATAAAGTCCACTGTGCTGACCAGGACTCTTTTAAAGAAAAAAAATCCTCCTTTCTTCCCAAGAACTGACCAAAAAGAAGGGGCTCCCAGTGGTGGGGGTGCTATGGGTCTGCAGAGAAGCCAGGGACTGAGAGGAGCCAGAGACTTGTCCTTGTGAGGCCACGCTAGCACTGGCTGCAAGGGGTCCTCTGAGGCTGCTTCTTTGGGGAATCCCATGGGAGAGCTTTAGCCAATTCCTCTGAAAAGGGGCTGGGGACCCCACATGAGATGGCAGTGCATGCGGCTCCCTGGACACTCCCACGCCCAAACTCCCAATGACAACCAGGCTCCTCGCCCGCTTTCCTTGGAGCTTCCCTGATTTGAATGTGAGTGAAGTGTACTCCGTCCAGGTTTGCGGATGACACAAAACTGTGGGGAGAAGTGAACACACCGGAGGGCAGGGAACAACTACAAGCGGACCTGGACAGGTTGGACATATGGGCAGAAAACAACAGAATGCCGTTCAACAAGGAGAAATATAAAGTGCTGCACCTAGGGAGGAAAAATGTCCAGCATACCTACAGCCTAGGGAATGACCTGCTTGGTGGCACGGAAGCAGAAAGGGATCTTGGAGTCCTAGTGGACTCCAAGATGAACATGAGTCGGCAGTGTGACGAAGTCATCAGAAAAGATAATGGCACTTTATCGTGCATCAGCAGATGCATGACGAATAGATCCAAAGAGGTGATACTTCCCCTCTATCGGGCGCTGGTCAGACCGCAGTTGGAGTACTGCGTGCAATTCTGGGCGCCGCACTTCAAGAGGGATG